GCTTTGTCTTCCTTTGAGGCTAAGAGAGTGTGACTTGGCTTCCCTGATTTAAGGCTAAGAGAGTGTGACTTGCCCAGGATTTCTTACTAAGTTTCGGTGGCTGAGCGGGGATTTGAACCCTGGTCTCTGGGAATCCCTATTCCAATGCTCTAACCGCTACATCATGTTGGTTCTCAAGATTTACTTGGATAAAACTTTGCCATTGGTTTCTTCTAAGGCTGAGAGAGTGTGACTCTTGGAGTCTTAGAAAACACTCAAAACCACTAACTGGATTAATTTGTGGAATATAAAATAGTTAAGTCTTATAGGTGCTAGGAAACTATACACTTTTGTAGCAACAGGCTAATGTGGCTTCCATTTTCTTTGACCCCGCCATTGCTGCAAAAAACAAGTTTGACCAGACATCCTCCTTTTCCAGGACACGTCCTATATTTCATTCTCATCAGGAGGAATTTCAAAATGTCCTCCATTTTGAGCGGGACTAAGAGGCATGCATTTACATTTACATGAGTATTTTTTAGCTTTTATTTTGTTATGTCCTAAATTCTACATTTTGCAGTGCCTTGTGCAGTTAGGAGCTCTGGTTGCCCTGCAAAACCCATATTAGTCAGTTGGCACAAAACATGAAAGAAAGCTGCAAGGGGACATTTCTTTTAAGGAAAGGTTGCATCCCTCTTTTTGAAAACTAAAACTTTGAGCATGCAACCCAGAGGAAGCGTGCCAACTGTAATTTGACTGGATTCCTTGCTATGAAAACAGGTGTGTCTTGCAACGTTTAGACCTGAAAATACTTATAGGTACATTTAGACCTGAAAATACTTATACGTACATTTAGACCTAAAAATTCTCTCTCTCTCTCTCTCTATATATATATATATACCTGTAAGAACTAGCAGAGAGAGAGTGTATGCATATGTGAGTATCTTACCTATCTGGCAGAAAGGAAGCAAAGCATGCTTTAATACATATACATACATATGTACATATATATGTATGTATGTATATATAGACCTAAAAATGATATCTATTGCATCTCTCTCCATATATATAAGAACTAGCATAGAGAGTAAGTGTGTGTGTGTGTGTGTATATAATATATATATATATATATATATATATATATGCAGAAAGGAAGCAAAGCATGCTTTTATATATATATATATATATATATATATATATATATATATGCACCTAAAGATATCTATCTATTGCATCTCTCTATATATACATACATATAAGAACTAGCATAGAGACAGAGTATGCATATATATATATATATATATATATATATATGAGAGAAAGGAAGCAAAGCATGCTTTAATGCCTCTCTCGCTCTCTCTCTCTCTCTCTCTCTATATATATATAGGCATTAAAGCATGCTTTCCTTCCTTTCTGCCACAGGATGGCAGCCTGCTTCTAAAAAGCCAAAAATTCATTTTCTTTTTGAATTAAACTTAATGTTACAATGAAGTCCTCCAATTACTCTATTCCTGTAGGTTCCAGGGTGGAAAACCAACTAAAATTAAACCCATACTGTTCCCATTTTATGATGAGAAGTAAGTGCAGTGAAGTGGTTTTAAATTTGGACTGGGAACAGGAGTTAAATCCAGCACCATCCCTAGAATTTTATTTTCTGCACCAGGCTAAAGTTGTGGAATAGATGAGCAACAGAAGCCTCAAGGCATGGGCAGAGTGCCATTTGCATGGCTGAGTGAAAGATTTTAGTGCTTTCCCTAAAATCATTTGAGAAAGCAACCATCATGATGTTTGCTTTTTATTCATGCTGTAACGGGTGGAATAACTTAAATCCTTTGGCAAGGTGGAAACCCCTCATAATGCTAGATACGTAAATATATATATTCACAAATATACTTGCCCTCTAGAAGAATGGGACACAATAAGATGCCCTTATTGTGTGAGAGCAAAAAACCCCCAAAACCCATCATGTTGCACAGTATTGTGCCAATTGCACCACACCATGCAATTTTTGCAGTTATTTTGAGAAATGCAAAACACTGAAAAATGCATAGACCATGGACCATATTAAAACTTTGAAAGTTTTAATTCTCATGTATAAGAACAAAATTAAGCAGGTTTTCATCTCTTTTGCATATTCTCACCACAAATATACAAGAGAGGTTGGGAATTGAAGAAAACCTGGGATTTTCTGCCTCCGAATTAATTTACTCTGTCGCTGAGCTGAGGAGTTCGTGGAATAGTAATACAGGTTTCCCAGAGAATTTGCATCCACACTGCAGAAATAATCCAGTTTGACACCACTTTAACTGCCAATGGCTCTCAATGCTATAGGATTCTGGGAATATAGTTTTGTGAGACGTTTAGCTTTCTCTGAGTGCTCACATGCCATCACAAACTACAAATCCCAGAATTTCATAGCATTGAGCCATGGCACTTAAAAGTGGTGTTAAACTGGATTATTTCTGCAGTGTGGATGCAGCCTCAGTTAACAAGTCCTTTGACAAAGAAACTCTTTTCCATATGGCTTTGCAGCCTGCCTTTTCCTTATCCTCTGGCAATGTCTTTCTTGTTTTAGCAACATCAAAACTGGGAAGATGAAGGAAGTCTGCAATAAACAATGCAATAAAGCTTGAACCAGGAGTGGGATAGAATTGGGTTTTCCTAGCAGTTAAAAGTGCATACTTTCTACAGTGTAAATGCACCAAAAGAGTAAACTGATGAGAAATCAGAAGGAAATCTAGTTCTGGAAGAATGAGTGACAACACAGCAGTGGCAAGGACCTGCTGAATATGTACGTATGTATGTATGTATGTATATGTATGTATGTATATATATATATATTTCTTTGCAAGATGAATGCTTCCCCCCGCAAAGATATAGGGGGGTTGCAGACTGTCAAAAATAGTGTGAATTCAGTCCACTTTTAGGGTTAGGGTTAAGGTTAGGGAATCATGAGAACTGAATTTTATTGTGGCACTAGAGTTCTCTGACAAAGAAGGTTCAATGTCTCAGAAAAATAACAATTCCCATGATTCCCTAGCACTAACCCTAACCCTAAAAGTGGACTGAATTCACACTATTTTTGACAGTCTGCAACCCCCAATAGTGTCACTCTATATACACACATACAGTTGGACCTCCATATCCATGGATTTCTTATCCACAGATTCAATGATACATGGCTTGAATATATATATTATATCTTCCAAAAAGTAAACCTTGATATAAAATTATACAGTGGGTTTGGTTCCGTTTGGGTTTGGTTCCAGAATCCCAAGTGGATATAAAAACCTATGGATGCTCAAACCCCATTAAATACAGTAAAATGTCCCTTATATAAAATGGCAAAATCAAGGTTTGCTTTTTGGAAGTTACCGGTATATGTTAATATAAAATTAATATTTTCAAGCCATGGGTGGTTGAATCTGTGGATAAGAAATCCATGGATATGGAGATCCAACTGTATGTGTATGCATAGAGCCGGCGTGGCATAGTGTTTTGAGTGTTGAACTATGATTCCCAGCTCAGCCACGGAACCCACTGGGTGACCTTGGCCAAGTCACACTTTCTCAGCCTCAAGGGACGGCAATGGCAAACCTCCTCTGAACAAATCTTGCCAAGAAAACCTCACGATAGGATTGCCTTAAATCAGGGATGACCTGAAGGCACACGATACACAACACAACAGCTGTCGCATGGAGGCTTCTTCCTAACTGCTCTTGCATGGGTGTCTGCAAGTGAGATGACCCATGTTAGTTCATTGGATCTAGGCACTAAAACTTTTGCTTGAATAGATGGACTTCCCTTAGAGCTTGGAAAAGTAACTTTGTTAGGATGAGAGTCCCTAGAATTTCCCATCCATACCTTTCTTGCCAAGAAAGCCCTATGGCTTTAGGGTCACCATAAGCTGGAAAGGACTTGAAGGTGCGTAACAACAACAAATGAGGAAAGATGCCGTGACTGATAGAACACATACACACAAGTTCTATCACTCTTGGCATCTTTCCATCCATATAGATAAATGATAGATAAGAGCACAGTTGCAATGACACAGAACTCTTTCGTCTCTTTTATCACCATAGCAAAGGGCCCACCAGGTAAATATCAGACCTCTGAGACAATGTCTGGCCATTGTGGCAGCTGCAATAAATCTTGTACCTTTTCTAAAACTCCACTTTGAAAAAAGAGACTGATGCTTTGCAAACAACAGCATGGCAATTTCCACTGAATATAGTCAGTCATCGCTCTCCTTTCATGGAGGCAAATGGGAACTGTCTCATAATTTTTTCACTGTGGCGCACTCCTCGGTTGGGGAGGAAAGCATCCATCTTGCAAAGATAATGCTCGCTTCTGTTGGTCCGGATCCTAAGGGAAATCTTGTTGTCAAGGGCAGGCTTTCTCGATCGCAACAGCATACTAGATGCATAACTATATGTGCATACACATAATACACTACACGTATACACAGGCACAAATATATTTGAATCATTGTATATAGTTGTGGTTTGTGTATATATATATATATATATATATATATATATATATATACATTTTAACAGGTGGGTATTGGGTCTTTTTGGTTTTATATTGTGTGTAGTTTTAATTGTTGTTAGCCGCCCCAATTGTTCTCAGAGGGGCAGGGTACAAATAATTTTATTATTATTATTATTCCCTGGAAATGCGCAGACAGCCATATGGAAGCTGCGGAAAGAATTGGCAGGATCCAGTCTCTTGCAGTTCATGAGTTGGATGGAGACAGATTGAGAGACCCAGTATAATAGTCCAAGACCCTGGAGAGGACGGTTATGGGTATGGGTCAGAGAATAAAATAGTAAAAATAAATTTTTTTTCTACATAGAAAATTGTGCATTATTAATTCTGTTGCTGTTTGCCTTCAAGGTGACCCCCCCCCCAAGCTGAACTTCTCATGGTTTTTTCTTGGAAAGGTTTGTCCGGAGGAGGTTTGCCATTGCCTTCCCCTGAGAGCATGGGACTTGCCAAAACTCACCTAGTGAGTTTTATGGCCGAGCCAGGATTCGAACCCTGGTCTCCAGTTTTGCAGTCCAGCGCCCAAGCCACTATGCCGCACTTACCCAGATGGGAATAAAAACATAGCAAAGTTGGGAAGCCACCATGGAGAAGAAGCATGGCTACCTGGGCAACCCCAAAAAAGTTCTGGACTACAGTTCCTATCAATTTACAATATTCTGGAATTATAATGATACTAGTGCTGGCCAATTGCTCTTCAGCCTTGTTCAATTTTTTGGTGTTTCCTTCAAAGTGCCATTGATATTACCTTCTTACAAAATATAGTCTGCAAATCATTAGGTTAACTAAATTAGTTTCTTTCTTCCCCGCCTCACTTCTCTTCTCAAAAAGTACAAGAGCTATAATTTGCATTTTCCCATAATCATCTTCTTGCTATTGCAGAGTCTAAATTTCCCAGCAAGGAGTCAAAAATCCATAATCGTGTATTAGGATGTTGCAAAACGAGGACCGCCAAAATTATTCCAGTTTAACAAAGAGGAAGGAATAAAACCGTTTGTGATTAGCAACTGTTGTTCATAGCAAGGACTTCTTCCTGCGGATTCCTGGATAATAGCGACATTTATCCTTTCCCATATTAAAAAGCCCAATAATGTATTTCCGTTAACGGTTACAATCTTATTGCTGACATTAGCCTTGAAAGATCTCAGGGTGCAAAGCCATCGAAATGCTTCGTGTTCAAATTTTGCAAATGAAGAGTTCGGACAAAGGGGAGCAGCTTTCTTCATGGACATTTTACTAAACAAAACTGTTGCATTTTACAAAACAAACTACTGCACACAACACAACTGAACAACCCCCAGCAGCCTCTTTCTTCGGATGAAAATAAGTGGAAGGCACCAATTCAAAGAGCCAACCTGTTGAGTGTTGGACAAAGACATTATGTAGTGCATCTACACTACATAATTATATCTGTATCACACTATTTTAACTGCCATGGCTCCGTCCTATGGAATCCTGGGATTTGCAGTTTGGGGGCAGGTACCGCCGGAAACAGTCCAATTCCCCCGAATTATAGATCCCAACATTTCATAGGATGGAACCGTTGCATTTAAAGTGGGATCAAGCCACTGTAATTACACAATGGAGACGCACTCCAGGAGACCAGGGTTCAAATCCTTGGTTTGCCCTGGGAACCCATTGGGTGATCTTGGGCAAGTCACATTCTCTCAGCCTCAGAGGAAGGCAATGGCAAACCCTCTCTGGAAGAGATCTGGCCAAACCCAATCCCCCCCCCCCCAAGAATAGTGTCACCACAATTTTGGAGTCAAACTAAAGGCATATTTTAATGTTGTAAGCCGCCCCGATTGCTCTGCAGAGGGGTGGGATATAAATTATTATTATTATTATTATTATTATTTAATAACAGAGGTGGTGGATGGAGATATGGTTAAGCCTCTGCTAAGCTGCTTTTTTCTTTAAATATATATATATATATATATATATATATATATTGCAGTCACATGTATATAATTTGGCCCACGATGCCACAAACTGGTTAAAAGAGGAGCTTGAAAAGGTTTTAAATGGCTTAAAAGCAGGGCTTGGACATGTTTAAAAGCAGAGTTTGGAACTGTTACCTTTTTGGACTGCAACTCTCCAAATCCCTCTGGCCATGTTGTCTGGGAGATTTTGGGAGTTGCAGTCCAAAAACAACAACAAGAACAACACACACACACATTTACGAGCTCTGTTTAAACATACTTGGATGCGAAAATATGTATTGTGCCCCCAGGGGAAACTAAATAGGAAATTATTTGCTCTGATGGTGCAAGGTGCATGACGCTTTAGCTACCGTCAGATGGTTTTATTTTATTTTTTAAAAAGGGTTTTTAGGAAATTGCATGGTGCGTCAAGCCAACATGCTGCTTCAAAGCTGGAGAGCTTACTGCCCCTTTTTCCTTTCAAGGTAGCAAATAGCAAGGTTACTCCAGTTTGTACAACTCTGCATCAGTACCTTTCCATGTCCTGATTTTTAGTACAGTTTTATTGATTTATGTACCATCCACGCCTCAGTCTGATTCTGCAATACACATCGGTTGTTGTTGTTGTTCAAGATGGTAATGTAGCCTCATAATTATCACTATTAATTTCATTCCTGGATACTATAAGATGCACACACACATAAACACACACACAAAGATCTAAATAATACCTTAAAATGTTTGTTAAAAGCAACAAATTCATACAGGTTGAGTCTCCCTTGTCTGGAATTACGACATCCCAAATATTCCAAAAAACCAAAATATTTTAATGGGTGGCAAAGGCTGCCATCTGTACTGCAGGAATAATCCAGTTTGACACCGCTTTAACCGCCACCGCTCCGTGCTGTGGAATTCTGGGACTGGTAGTTTTATGAGAGATGCAGTCTTCTCTGTGACAGACATCTTGTGACACAGCAAACTACACATCCCAGGATTCCATAGCATTTAGCCAGGGCAGTATTGTTGTATTTAATGATTGTTACCCGCCTCGATCCTTCGGGGACAGGCAGGTTATAAATAAAAAATTATTATTATTATTATTATTATTATTATTATTATTATTATTATTAAGTGGTGTCAGACTGGATTATTTCTGCAGTACAGATGCAGCTTTTTTTTAGTTTGGCTACATATGGTTTCTGCGAAACATCGGAGGCTGTGACGCTGTAGTAACCATGAGCATCAAAGCGAACACGGTCTGTCCATTGCAATTGAAATAAATTTTTGACTTTTAAAAGTCAGAAGCCAGAACACCCCCCTCCAGCCCAAAACTATCCAGCAGATATGCTGATATAACATTAGGTTAAAAGAAAGCCTGTTAACTACTTTGCATGTCGTAATGATTTATTCCATATTTCCCAAGCAGATGTTGACATTTTACTTTGTCGTCCCAGAATTAAATGTCAAGTTATTCCTGTTTCGAATGCCACATTTCAGTATTTGAATGATCTGTAATTGTATTTAATACATAGACACATAAGTCACATTCATGAGACCAGTGCCATCAAGAGCATGGAATAAAGTCTAACATCGGATCTTCCTCTTCAAATTTAGCAACAGGCAGCACTAAAACCATGCCCAGGGCTGAGAACATATCTGGTTACAATTTGTAATGTACTTTTTGCTTTTTAAGCAAATTTGCAATTAAATAAAAGTCAATCGTAATGTACTTTTCGCTTTCGCTTGGCCCACATTTTCTTCCCAGCAATGGATGAGAGCAGGAGAGAGACAGGATGCATCTACACCGTAGAAATAATGCCGTTTGGAGCCGCTTTAAGTGCCCTAGTGCCATCCTATGGAAACCTGGGATTTGTAGTTTTACAGGATCTGTAGCCTTCTCTGCCAAAGAGTGCTGGTGCCTCACGAAGCTACAAATCCCAGGATTCAGTAGG